CCCCCCAATAATCACAGTTGCATGGAGCAGGCATGGTTTTTTTTATGGAAATATAGTAAATTGAGAAGAAACCTGGAGCTATTCTAAGAGCAGCACAGGAATATTGACACGTCAAGGTGATGTGCTGGACAAGGAGCCCGGTGCACTAAACTCCAGCTATGCGCGGGTAACAGGGAAGGGCCGGACCACAAAGGTTTATTGTAAGCAGTCTTACCCTGCATTTCTGCAAGAGGTTTCCACGGCTCGAACCCGTNTCGAGAGAGGAGAAAGAAAGACTCTTTTCTATTGTCTGGGAATACGCGGACTTCTGGGCTAGGTCTCGATACGGAAGGAATATAGAGGGCGGGCGTCGAAACCCCATGCTTTGAGAGTTCCTTTCTGCCAGCACTTTCTCTACCCGGGAGTCACTTCATCAGTACCTGGGGCTACTGTCCCAGGATGCCAAAGGTATGATCCACACATTGAAAGTGTCAACGTTGACTCACACGCGCCACCCTCACNGGGCCTTGAGTGTTTATTTCATTGTCCTGAACAGATTGAACCGAAACGAATAACATCATAAGCAGATATAACGCAACAAGAATATGAAATCTGTCTGAGAGAACAGTATATCAAATGGGTGAAGAACCTTTTGAGATGAATTGTCTTCAAGCATCTCCCACCGTTCTTTATGTAGTTTCAAGATTTTTACTTCACCATCAACATGTACAACCTAAAACGGAAACGCCAAAACAGCATGGGTCATTTAGAATTTCCAGGAGGAACTTTTGCAAAATGTTTAAGCCAATAAAACATGGTTCAAGCTAGATAAGATTGCTATTTCACGATCAGCAGATATTTCGTTTCCTTGTTATGAATAAGCTCTATGGAAAAGAGGTTTTCTAAACTGTAAGGTCATACCTCTATGTAAAAAGGGATGTATGTGGCAGATCTTGAATTTGAATAGTTAAATAGATTTGGACATTCCCTAGTTTATGCGACCCCATTTAGCTCAACATGGAGATAGAGTTGGTTTTACTTACAAATATATTAGCAGTGGTAGGAGAACGTTTGTTCACTTAATCTTTACCTGAAATAATTTTGATAAGGAAACATATATACAAGGGCTCAAACAGATAGATGATGTTGAATTGTTATTATGTACGTGCATTAAACATTTGAATATATCTCAAAATGAGAAGTGTATAAAGTAAAATGGAACATATAGAGTAACATAAAGAAAATTATGAATTAGTGAAACAATGACAAGGCTTCATTATAATCTCGTTACCTTGTGTCTCTTTTTCACAGGATCAAAAGAAGAAATGATTGCCTCGTAAAACCTACAAAGAGAATTTTAAGATGATAAAATGTATCTAGAATATTCGTTCTTATTCAAGACAAAATAAAAGGCGAACTGGTGGAAATGAAATTGAAGATGTCATCTGAAATCAATATTTTTACAATGATGTTGCAGTTCTCACATCAATATTTTAAATAACTTACTCTTCATCCAATGGACACCAAACTTTTATTCTAGCGCCAACCAGTTCTTCACCATAACATTTGATGTTACGACGCCTCTTAGAATCCTGAATGAAAAAATTAGAGCCACGAGTTCTTCAGACATGAAAGCATTCAGAACTACTTTTTTCACAAAAAATCCTATTAATCCCCTTCTCAACCCCATTGAACCAACCGTGGTTCCCCCACCATTACCCCAGCGTGACTCAGCCCCTCAACCTACAGTTTGAAGGTGGAGGCAGCTAACCACTAAGTCAACCCGCTCTTGTTTGGAGAACCACTTTCAGAGCAAAAGAATTGGGTCTAAAAACAGACTTTCTGTCAGTTCTACGATAAAATGAAATAAAGTAAAGACTGGTATCTGCTCTAAGTTGAAAAGAGGGGAGTTGATTTTTCTGCAAGTTTTGGCACATTATAGAGAGCTAAAAACTAGTTATCCTGTAAGAGAAGTTCTTAAAAGCAGTGAAGTGCCAAAATGTGAGATATGGAATCAGTATATGAAGCATTTCAACAATTTACATCCACACATGCAAGCTCTGATAATTGCATATATGGAGGTCACATATAAGAACTACAGCTAAATATAGTGGTATATCAGCATCTCTGACTAATAGTTTAGTTGCCTGTACATCTCACAAGTAAAAAAGAGAATTGTAAAAGGAAAGTAATTGATAATCCGTAAATAGCAAAATTAAAATTATCAAAGATCTTGAAATAACTATTACTAGGCTGCTCTGAACAGATTGCACGAAAAGAATAACATCACAAACAGATGTATTGCAACAAGAATATGAAATCTGTCAGAGATAACAGTATATTAGACAGTTGAAGAACCTTTTGAGATGAATTGTCTTCAAGTATCTCCCATCGCTCTTCATGTAATAACAAGTTTTCTACATCACCGTCATCATATAAGACCTAAAATGGAAACATCAAAACAGCATGGATCATTTAGAACGTTCAGGAGGAACTTTATCGAAGTGTTAAAGCCAATAAAACGTTGTTCAAGTTAGATAGGATTGCTACTTCACTATCAGTATATCTTTCCGTTCCTTGGTTAGTTATGAATAAGGTCTACAACACAGAGGTCTTCTATACTGTAAGGTCGTACATGTATGTAAAAAGGGATTTATGTGGCAGTTATTGAATTTGAACAGTTAAATAGACTTGGCCTTTCCCTAGTGTATGCCATGCCATTTAACTCAAAATGAAGATTGACTTACTTTTACTAACAGATATATTAGCAATGATAAGAGAATCTTCATTTGACTCAAGTCTTCAACTTAAATTATTTTGACAAGGAAACATATGATACAAGGGTTCAAACAGATCAAGGATGCTGAATTATTATTATTACTACTACTACTACTACTGTTGTTGTTGTGGTGGTGCACGTGGTTGTTAGGGTGGGTTAGAGTCCCACATTGGTTGAGGCAATGTGTTGTGGTTTTCTTATATGGTCTTGGACATTGACCTACTTTTGGTAAGCCCAATGTCCATATCTTCACATGGTTTCTGAGGCAGATCTATCCCTGTTTGGGCCCCCTGTTATATTGCCCGCGATCCAGTTGGAAGCCTTTGGAAGGCCTAGGCATGCGAGGGGGTGTTAGAGCGGTTTAGAGTTCCACATCAGTTGAGGAAATGAGTTGTGGTCTCCTTATAGTCTTGGGCAATCCTCCCGCCATGAACAAGCTTTTGGGGCTAAAGATTTGAATACATTTTAAAATAAGTGTGAAAAATAAAATCGAACATACAAAGTGTGCTAGACATGAGGTAAAATGACTTCCAGGAAAATGTTTTCCATGAGTAAGTGTTTTCCAAAATCATTTTCTGGTGTTTGGTATGACGGAAGTCATTTTCCATGGTAACGAAAATTTATAACTATCGCAACTTTTAACTTCATATTACTTGTTTCAACTAACCTTTAGACATTATTATTAATCTCTAGTACTCAAAAGTTTCATCAAAACATTCTCCAATTTGCTAAAATTATAATTAATGAAAATATTTTTCACTAACCAATCACATACCAAAGGAAAAAAAATCCGTGGAAAATATTTTCCAACAAAACATTTTTCATAGAAAATGACTTCCATCATACCAAAATACCAGAGTAACTTAAAGAAAAGTATGAATTAGAGAAACAATGACAAGGCTTCATAATATTCTCGTCACCTTGTGTTTCCATTTCACAGGGTCAAAAGAAGAAATGGCTGCCTCGTAAAACCTACAAAGAGAAACTTTATGATGAGAAAATGTAGCAAGACGTAACAGAAAATATAGATAGACTCAATAACTGAAAGCTACAACAAGTTGCTGAAAAGAGTGTGCTCGCAGGATGGTTGGGTGAATGGGCGTTATTAGTACACAAAATTTACGATTGTGTTGCAATCCTCACATAGATATTCTAAAGAACTTACTTTTCATCCAATGGCCACCAAACTTTTATTCTAGCGCCAACCAGTTCTTCACCATAACGTTTGATGTTACGACGCTTTTTAGAATCCTGAATGAAAAAATTAGAGCCACAGGTACTTCAGACATGAAAGAATTCAGAACCACTTCTTTTAGAAAAATCCTTTTAATCCCCTTTTCACCCCCCTGAATCAACCGTGGTTCCCCACTTAACCCCAGCGTGACACAGCCCCTCAACCACTAAACCAATCCTCTCTCGTCTGGAGAACCACTTTCAGAACAAAAGAATAGGGTCTAGAGCAGAAGCGCCATCAGTTCTACAAAATCTAGTGAAATAAAGTAAAGACTGATATCTGCTCTAAATTCAAAAGAGGGAAAATGATTTTTCTGCACGTTCTGGCACAATAGAGAGCTAAAAACTAGTTTGCCTGTGAAGGGAAGTTCTTAGGAAAAGCACTGAAGTAGCAAAATGTGAGATACCAAATCAGTATATGAAGCATTTCAACAATTTACAACCATACATGCAAGCTCTGATAATTGCATCTATGGAGGTTACATAGATAAGAATTACAGCTATATATAGTGGTACATCAGTACCTCATGTTTGCATGTGGCCAACTTCCTCCAGGATTGATGATTAGCACATCCGTTTAAGTTATTTTCATATCTGACTGATAGTTTAGTTGCCTGTACAGCTCACAAGTAAAAAATAGAATTGCAAAAGGAAAGCAATTGATAATCTATACATCGCAAAAATTAAATTAGCGAAGATCTTGAAATAACTATTACTGAGCTGTATTGATGTCAACCTCATCTCCAGAATCGTCAAAATCAAGCATCTTAAAAGAAATTCTTTTTTTCTTCTTTTTCCTTCCATCAATTAGTTCCAGTGAGGGCTCCTCATAGTCACTGATGTTTCCTTCTTCACTTTTGGTGCTAAATTCAGATTTGCTATCTGCATCGTAATTGGAAGCAAACTCATTCTTCCTTGAGCTCCTTCCTTGTTTTCTTTTGGCACAAACTGTGTGTTTGGTTCTCTCTTCCCCAGTGAGACCTAAGTGAAGAGAACCTTTTTTCTTAACTTGGGACTGCAGCACGTCTCCTTCTGGAACTAATGCAGCTAGGTGAGCATCCTCATTTGTCAGGATCTCTTTCATTTTGGGCTGACCCAAATGACCATGACTTCCATTGCTAATTTCCGGGTTTTTGGACGCTGAAGAATGCTGTCCGCCACTACCTGTAAGTTCACTCCTCCTTGAAACTACTTCTGCATTTGTTGCTGGTTGCACATCTTCTGGATTGTCAGGTTTCAAGACATTCGTTGTACAA